CCCAAGATCATAGACTTTTTAATCTCTAATTTGCATACAGAACCCTTTCTTCATGTCCTTTTTAGTTACGACACACACTCATTAGTAATAGGAATCTGATTAGTGATTTGTCTGTCTTGCACAAAAGCTCCTTGACAATGTGTAGTAATGAAGGGGAGAACCATTTTTGAGCCTCAGAGACGTAACTTTAGCAATAATTTTATACAAGCTAGTCACTAGGCTAATAAACCTGAACTCGTTAGGATGAATGGCTTCAGGTTTCTTAGGTATCAAGATTAGAAAAGCAGCACCTATTCCTGGATTTATTATTCCTCTATCAAAGAATTCATTGAACACTTACATTAATTTATTCTTCAAAGTATATTTCTTTTGATCAGCAGAAGAAGAGTTTTATTAATTAAAGTATAGGAGTTAAAAGAGCTTGGGTGTAAATTCCTCCCTGAAACAACAAAAGATTACAGATTTGCCCAAAACATTTGCCGTCTCACAGCCCCTTGATTGGCCAAAGAATTTTCCATTCCATTTTCTGTTCTTCTTACCCACTTAAATGTAACATTTAGCTCCCTTGTTAGGCTTACAGTCTCCCTGAATTTATACTGGAATACCCAAGGGATCTGGGAACTGTTCTTGGTCCATGAGATGACTACTTGGGAATTCCTTTCCACCTCTAGATTGTGGAGGCCCAGTTATTTCGCAAACCTTAACCCCTGCAGTAGACTAACCAGTTCAGCTGTCAAAGCATCACCATGCTGCAAGGGTCCTGAATATAAGGCCACCACTCTACCTTCTATCATCTATGATGACACCCCCTACCTTAGCCAACCACCTATTGCCAATAAAGCTTTCATCAAAGTTGAATTTTATAAAATTGGGGTCCAGGGGCTTCCAGTCCATCACTATCCTTGCCTTGTCTATAGCCAATAGTGTCACCTCTTTCCAGGTTCTCAAAATATCATCCAGTGAAAAAACTTTGAAGTCATCCAATGTTTTCTCCCAATGTGCAACTTTAAGTTCAGCTTAACTAAATCAATGATTTCTGCCTGAGTCTTACTCTTATCATTGAAAATTCTCCCATTTCTTTCTTCCGAAATAGTCCAAACTATAGCTGCTCTCATTGCTTTCCAAAGTAATCTTCCTGTTTTTGTTGGCTGTCTCAAGAAATGAGGATCAAAAAGGCCCGCCACATCCTGAAGAGGAGTCCATCTGCACCCAAATAGAAAACAAAGCTGCTCCCAAATATAATGTACACAGGAACAGAAAGTAAATATATGGGAAATTGTTTCACCACTATTCAAGCAGAGAGAACACATGTGAGAGGATAGGCATTTATTTGGACTTCTTTTCTGCAGCACATCACAATTGTTGATCTTTCCAAGAAAGATCTCCCAACAATGGGCCTGAATTTTAGGAGGGATAGGCTTGCTCCAAGTTCAGCCCCAATGCAGTAGGTTGTGTTAAGAAATTGAATGCCACTATGAACCCATCTGGACCCTAAGTCTTTGCCCTATTTGTGGAAAAAGTAGCTTTCTTTTTTTCCTCCAACTTAAACCTCTTCTCTAACTTCTCATTAAACTCCCCATCCAAAGTAGGTCATCCATTCCTTCCACCATACATCTATTATTCAGAGGCCATTTATAAATAGATTTTAAAATGATCCAATAAGTCATGAGCTATCTCCTCTTTTTGAGTAATCACTTCTCCACCCATTTCCAATCTAGACAGTTCTTTCTTCTCCCATTGGGCCACAACTGTGGTTTAAAATGTCCAATAAATTTCCTAACATTTCCACAGCATATTTCCATTTCCCTGGATACTGGCACAAAATATTATTGGAATCAACATATTCCCCAATGAAAGCTATTGGTGCTATGTGGAGTACAAGAGAGTTATAATATAAGTTGGCAACAATATTTTAAGTATGTGGAATAGCAGTGTTATTGCCCACCTAATGTACATGATTAGTTGATTACCACTTTGATCCAGCTCGAAATTCTTTTCAAACATGAAGTTTGATCTTAGTTTTTATTGTATAATAAATTATTTGGTTGGTCTATTAGAATCATTTGCACATTCTATAAGTTTAAATTTTGCTTGAACTCACTCTATCATGTAGTTTCGAGGATCAAGATATAAGGATCTACCTATGCGTCTTTTATCATTACATAAAATATCATTCTATATTTTTTCATATTTCACAATGTTTCCATCATGCCTATAATTTTTACAATGTTTCCGATACTTCTGACATGTTTCCTATATTTGGATAACCTGTATTTCGATCAACATCGACATCTTTAACCTTGGCCACAACAATGCCCAACCCTAACCTAACACAACCCAACTTTCTTGGGTTGGGTTGGGATCAGGTTGGGATAAGGTTGGCCCAGTTTCTTCAGTTCATTTTACTCAAATGTTATTATTTCGTAGACTTATGAATAGTTAGCCAAGCTTTACTGATTTTAGCATTATTATATGTATAAGGAAAAAATATCATATAAATATTTGAAGAGCTAGGGGCAGGCCAAAAAGGACTTGGATGGAAATGATAAGAAACGATTTAAGCTCCTAGAATTTAACAATGGATTTGGCACTGAACAGAAGTAAATGGCAAAATAGGATTCATGTAGCTGACCCCATATAGATGGGATGAGGCTTGGATAATGATGATGATACACATAAATATGGAGACATGGTGGGTTTGGTTTGGATTATTTTCAAGCTAACCTGGTCCAAGTTGCATACCTAATTCCTACAAAATTAAGAACCCAAAATTACAATAATGCCACTATCATTACTTCAGCTCAAATAAAACAACTTCTAAACTATTTATGCAATTGCTTTGAAATTTTAAGCAAAGACTAACCATGACAGGACACATCAAACTTCTTGACCAGATCACGCAAGAAATATGTAAAATGACAGAAGTACCTCTCTACTGCTCAGAAAATACAAAAAAAAAAAATGGAAAATAGACATCTGAGTATTTGGTTTCTGCATCAGTTTCTTATGCATGTGGAACCAGCTATAGCATCTTATTTAGTAATGAATGTCATTCTTACATCACATCAGCTCTAATTAGTTCCCATAAGCACCAAAAAAAAAACTTCCTTTACAACTGTTAGTGGTGTTAGTGAAGGGGTATTTCAGTCTTTGTACTTGTTGAGAATGCTGATGTGTACTGTTATGTTAGTTCGAGTGCCTCTTACTTAAAGAAGGGCACTCAAGTCTTTTTCAATAAGTCAATAATATAATAATAGGTCTGGCCGAATCAAGGGATTAACTTTTTTCCCTAATTCGAACCAGCCTTTCTCTCTTTTCTCTCTTCTCTCTTTTCTTCTTTCCTCTCCTACTTCTTGCTGTCTACTTTACTCTACAGTCAACGAACAAGACAGAATTCTATGGCAGGTCAAACTTCAACAACAACAAATAACAAGGAACCCAATGCATCCGATTCTACCATGTTCTCCAACAATCCATTTGATCACAAGGAACTATGTGCTGTAAAAATTATGAAAAAGCACACTCTGAAGCAGTTGATCTAGGACCAAGAGCATGTATATCTCACCAGATGCTCTGTTATTGCAAAACATAGGAGAAAGGAATACTGATCCAGTCAAACTTGTAGCTTTTAAAGTCTACACTTGCAGGCACATGCCCACAGGCCCTTAGTAGTTTAGTTTGTGTTCCAGCCACTTTATTAGCCCTTTTTCTGAAGAATTTATATAAGGAATATTATGGGGGCCACAGATACTGTCTTTCTGTAAGCTAGGATTTTGAGTAAGATGCGAACCCAAAGGCATATTACTCATTTTGGATTTAGTGAAAACTTGTTGATGATTGTTCTGCAACTTGTGCTTGAAGAATAGAGATTCTTCTTTCCTTGGTGGTAAGACTCCACCATTCATCTTGGGTTGGTTAGATGCATTCCAAGTTGGTTTGGGTAGTTTGACTGACTCTACCCATTGCTCTCCCTTCTCTGTCTGGTTTCTTCTTTTCATTGATTCTTCTCTGATACTTGCTTTCTTCCCATTTCTGTGAAATCACCATATTCCATTTTGAAAGTTCAGCAACTTGATCAGAAAAATGCTTCATAGTTCATGTGCAATTTAAGACTTTGCCTTGGGTTTTGTATCGCATCACTTCTTCATTATGTTCTTGAGTTATCTTCCAAGTTAGGTTGGAATAAACTAAATCTCATGAAGATGAATCAAACACAAGAGGATTCAAATTCCAAAATCCTTGTTAAACAATATATTATTTAAAAGATGTAAACCTTAAACTTTTTGGATTTTTCAAAACATATAAAAATCATGAAGTCAATCTGAACACCCTGGTACCAATTAATTAAAATTAAAATTTCCATCAAAAGCTCTGTGTGTGTAAGCAAAGATCACTTACCTTGCATGTACTGAGACCGTACAGGTGCTGGCATCATCTGTACTGTACTGCCTGATGGTTAGGAAAGACTAGGGCTTTGTACAACAACCTTATTCTGTCTTGTATGATCTGTCTGTGCCCTTTGAATAAATTATTGCTTTGATACCTAGTTCAAATTTGATTTAGGGTTACAGTAGAAGAATAAGAATTAAAAAGAAGAAGATAGAAGCTGGAGCCCAACTGTTTTACATGTCTAATTATGAAACATTGCAAATGACTAATATACTAATATGGCCTTATTAGATTGCAAAGCACCTAAAATAATATAAAAAACAATAACATATTAACAACATATAAAAATACCAATAATAACATATTAACAACAATTTTATTATAATCCATGCAATAAATGTAATGAATTGATTGTTACCTTAACTTTCTTGTCAATGTACCATTTGGAATGCATAGTTCCTTTATATTTATTCTTCAATATTGAAATTAATTTTAATATTTGAATGTAGTTGTTGCCTTTCTTCAATATTGAAGTTAATTTTAGTGAATCTGCATTTACTTATTGTTGAACATTCTGTTTCTCATCAATGACTTGTTTTTGTTGGTTTCAGGGTGGTCTTACAGCTACAGATGTTTTTGCTGTCGAGTGGATTCAGTCTGGCGTTATTCACTTTGGGATGACTGTCTCATACTATGGTTTTGTTAGTGATGGTAATTCACTAATTTTTCTGATAAAGTAATTCACTAATTTTTCCCAATTTCCTTTTTATTAACTATGAACTTTGTTAGTGAGAAAAAAGAACTTATTGAGCACAATGGTCCACACTCATGAGGCAGAAAGAATGGGGTATGCTGACACCAAGAAGTCAACATTAATATACAATAGAAAAACTGATGCTGAAATCAGTTTGATTCTATACCACATATGATATTATCTTCCCTGCAAAACATGATGCTTATTAACATTTCCCTTGTCAGATTGTCAGCCAATGGTTTAGGTCCACCTTGTGCTCCATTTGATTGAGATATTCATTTGGATGCCAAGATTTTTGCTCTCTAATGGGACATCTCTACCTCAAGGACCTTCTGTGGTATCTCAAAACCTACTAATAATTGTGTAAGAGTGTCTCTTTACCTCTACCAGCTTGAAGCCAAATGAATTTATTGGCCTAAGACCTAGAATTATAGGTATATCTACTATGAAATTGTGACCTTTCCTATTGTCCCTAGTAAACACCATGTTAGTCTCTCCTCTAAAGCCTTCTACTAACTTTAGGGTTCTTAAGAACACCCATCAAAGTTGAACTTAAGCAAATTGTGATGGAGGTGCTGCCCCAGTTTTGAATGATACATTGACTATTGATTAGCAACTAACCAAGATTTTAGATACTCCACACTACCATTCGGTTTGCATTTCACTGTATATACCCACTTGCAACCAGCAGCATGCTTCCCAAGGGGAAGAGAGGTAAGATCCCAAGTGTGATTAATAAGAAAGTGTGAATTTTTTCTTCCATTTCTTTTCATCAACCAGGAATGCAGTGCCTCTTGAGTGGAGTTAAGAATAGACACTGATGATAATAATGAAATAAGCTGGCAATATGGAGAAAGATGATCTAAAGAAATAAAGTGGGATATAAGATGTGCATTGCAGGAGCTCTTATCTTTATGTAGCACAATAGGAAGTTCTAAATTTGATGGTAACACTGGATTTGTCAATAGAAAAGATGAATTTAGTGGATCCGGAGTTGATGCAGAAGTCTTCCAACACGTGCACACTTTTTCAATAAGTGATTTTGTAATAAACAGTGAAATTGAAACACCTAGAGCAATATCTGAATCAATTGGAAGTAGTAATGACATTTGAAGAAAGTTTTAGGAGTCATGAGAACTTGAAAGTTGAAAAGAGGGGGTGGATTAAGAGAATGTAACTCAAGACAAACAATTGATTTCCACAAAGTAGGATTATAGTATTTATATCTTTTATGAGTCTGAATAAAAAATAGGCCCACATCAAACCGTTCCCATAGATTTTCCCGCCTAATTCTTTGACACCTGATTTTTCCCTATTTCTCTTCCATTTTCTAATGTGCATATCTACCACCACTAATTTATGTTGTGTTGTTAAGCTTTCCCCTAAAATAACATTGTAATCCTTACACATCATTTGTTCTGTTCTAGTAAGGAAAAATATTTTTGACTTATATTGAAATCCACTTTTAAATGTTATTAAGTGTGCATCCTTGTTTTTGAAAAATGTGTTTAAAATTGTTACATAAAAAGTTACTGCAAATTATAAGATTGTATCTCCAATTTCATTCTTCTCTCTAAACCCAAATCCTTCATGCACGATGTCATATCCTACACTTGTCCCCACATGCCCATTTAAGTCTCTTCCTATTAAAATCTTTTCATTTGGATTTTGTTTGATTAATCCTTCTAAGGTTTCCCAAAATCGTCTTTTCATGTTTTCTTCTAAACCACTTGAGGTGCAAAACACTAATTATGTTGATGATTTCTTCACCTAAAATAAGTTTAATTAAAATCATTTAACATTTAAAATTCCATTTTTTAGATCATTATCTACTATTATTGCTACTCTTATCCCGTGCACCATAATTTGTAGCCATCAATTTCTTCTACGGCATCAACAAGAGTGAATTGATGGGCAAGGTGCCAACCAGCTGGTTGATACAGTCTCCTGCTGGTCGTAGCGGAGACTTGGGATCGGTTCCTGCCTGCACCTGGGTTGGGGGATGGGCTACCCCATTCAAATGAAATAAAAAACAAGAGAGAATTGATGGCTAAATCACTTCACCTATATCACAGCACCACAATCACCACTGTTGCATCATTGACAGGCACAATTCACCATTGTTACTTGTTATTTCCTTTTCTTTATTAAGAAACAACATTAAAGCTTTTGCAACCATGAAAGATGTGATAATTCCCTTCTAGAGGTGTCTCTTAAGATTATTCAATGCTAACTGTGGCTTATAAGAGATTAAGAGAAAGAGATCCTCTCTCCTGTTTACTCCATTGCTGGTTACCATGATAGATCCAGTGAAGCAAGTATATGTACCTGTTTAGAGTTTTCTTGTTTTTTTATCATAGCCACAAAAACAGCAGAAACAAGTACGTAGTTGTAGAATTTCTATTAAGGGTTCATTTTGGGTTGGGTTAGCCCAAACCCAACTCGATAAAAAGTAGGAATGCATGTTTTGATGCCCCATCCTCAGGATGAGGTACTTGCTCATAATAAATATTAGGAATGCATGTTTATTACTACCACCTCCTTGTTTTATTTTGTTAATTTTTCTTGCTTTAATATTTTGGCTGTGCTATTCATCATAATCGTAATTGTCTCATCAAAAGTTCGTCTCTAGTAACTTGAGATGTCATAAGTATTTAATCTTGACCAGTTGCTGCTTATAATTTATTGTAACTCCTAGAATGCAGCTTTATATCAAAATCCACATGGTTTCACAAACGTCGCTATTTCTTATAAATAAGCCTGGGCGTATTAGCACTTCTTGGTCTAAGTAAGTTAATATATTTATGTTTCCTATTTGTACAGTGCTGGAACTTTCTGAGAAGTATCAGAAGCGCTTTGGTCCATTACGCTATTTTGTAGCGGGTTTCCTCAAGTTCTTGTGCTTGCCAAAATATAGTTTTGAAGTGGAATATCTTCCCGCATCAAAAGATGTGCCTGAGCCTGAAGATAATATCCCAACTGATCATGAAACACTTGACATGTCAGACCTGTACACAGACATCATTAGGAGATCAAATATGGATCGTATTCCTAGAGCTTCCAGCTTATCAAGTATCGATTCTATCATGACCCCTAGTCGAATGTCTGAAGACCTGGACACCACAAGCAGTACACATGCTAGTGCTGAGCCATCTGAATATGTGCGTGGCCTTGATCCCAAAACAAAACGCCTATCTTCTGGGAGGCGCAATGCTATAGCAGAACCAGAAGTTATCCATCCTCAGGTGCCACTTTCAACAACTCCTAACTGGCCCAGGACGAGGTCAAAATCAAGAATAGATAGAGGTTGGAGTGGATTGGCAGCTACAAATGATCCAACTAGAAGTTCTTGGGGAAATGCTACAACAAACGACAAAGAGGATATATCATCAACAATATCTGATCCAGGTCCCATATGGGATGCTGAACCAAAGTGGGATAGCGAACCCAATTGGGATGTGGAGAATCCAATTGAGCTCCCAGGACCATCAGAGGATGCTGAATTGGGAATGAAGAAGGAAGTCATCCCCAAGTTTGAGGAGAAATGGGTTGCTACAAAAGGACAATTTCTTGGTGTGTTGGTGTGCAACCATTCGTGCAAGACAGTTCAAAGTTCACAGGTGGTTGCACCAAAAGCAGAACATGATGACAACACTATGGACTTGCTATTGGTTCATGGAAGTGGACGGCTTAGACTATTAAGGTTTTTCTTGCGTCTGCAGTTTGGTAGACACCTTTCTTTGCCATATGTAGAATATGTCAAGGTATTAATGCAGTCACTTCATTTGATTTAACATGAGAACTTGTACCGGGAATGCTACTGCATTCATGTGAAGATTGTTGTTTTGCAATGTGAATTCTCATGAACCATCGCATATTCCAAACTATTCCCTTTTATATTTAAACTTCTTTGGAGGAATTAGTAAATTCAAATTGCATGCATCAATTTGACAGATTGATGTTTTTAGTTTCAGTTGGTTTTTTCCAGTTGTATTTGAACCATCTAACTCAAATTTCCATTTGGATGCAGGTAAAGTCGGTGAAGATTAAGCCAGACAAAACAACCCATAATGGTTGTGGCATTGATGGTGAGCTTTTCCCCATCAATGGCCAGGTGGTATCTTCTTTGCTTCCTGAACAGTGCAGACTTATTGGCAGGGCCCCAAGCCGTCACTAATGGAAAGAGTATTGTTTAATATGTTTGCTCAGTTTTCACTTCTAACAACGGTATGTAGTAGTGGAATACTCAGAAGCTTCATATACTGAAACACATCCTTGTCCAGTCATTTTCTGTTATTTTCTCTGTAAACTTCTCTACCTTAGTGTGTTAGAAGTCCCTATAAATTTATGCATGATCGTGGAACATTATTATCAGCGAGTCCTGTTATTTTCCTCTCCCTTTTTGTGTGTCCCTTCCATTGTTGGGTGCAACTGGTGGTTTATCTACATGTATGTGGATACGTGGGTTTCATTTCTATTTTTGATTTGTTTTGTTCATATCTATACTGTAAAGCATTTGTCATTTTATTTTTTTCCTGTTCTTTCTGGTTTTGTCCTTGAAAAACATTTTACTTAGATCTGATCAAATTCATGTTTTCCCAACTGAAACTGATTTTAGGCAACTAAATTGAAAAGATCCTTGAGTACTTTGGTCTTAGGATCATTAGGTTGACATGTGGCATGTTGCCATTGGTTGTCATTAAAGTTTTCATCATAAAGGGCACCTTGTTGCCTAATTGCCTAAGATGGATTTTTTTTATTAAAAAACATGATCTTAGGGTAATTACCTAGGTTATATAGCAACTAGCAACCATCATTCATTAATGGTTGCTATAATTTGGATTAAATAGTATAAGCTTGATATTAGAAAACGTTGAAAAGAAAATTCACAAAATATAGGGGCTGAGCGCCTGAGCCCGTCTTTGTCCTAGGAAGTGTTATATTGGACAAAAATTTATGAGGGTTCAAGACAGAATACACCAAGTGTGTTGATTGAACTTTACCAAATTAAAAAATATAAACACAATAAATATTTTAGTTTAATAATACCTATTTTATTACTATATTTTCAAAATATAAGAATACAAAAGTATTTCATAACACAAAAAAAAAGGTATTTCATAACACCATATGCGAATTAACTTGCCAATTCCCTCCATGAATGCCAATCACATATGGATTTCAGACACTGTGGCTCAGTTTGGAAAGAGTACAAATGCGAATATGTAATATATACAGTACAAATACATGCAAAATAAAACAAAATATAAGGTTTTGCATTTGTACTCCTTCCAAACTGAGCCTATGTATCGTAATCTTACTGCAGGATAGATTTGGCGTCTGTTTGGCATCAATGCCATTGATCCAGAAAATGGTGACATCGGCGTCATATCGAAAAAAATGGTGCTCCAGGAAATATCAATATGTTTGAAACTGTTTTTTCATAAAAAAATTGTTCTTGAAGTCACGCCTTGAAAATTGAGAATGTGTGGTTTGGAGAAATGCCAAATTTAATATTTTCTCAGATTGGAGTTTGTTGTTACCAACGAGGACATGTTGTGGCAGTGATATGGACTTCCTAAGTTCTTATAATGGGTATTAGTACTGAAAACAGATATGGAGCGAGATGTCTTTTGATCATGAGAAATGTAATTACAACCGGTGTCATTAGTTCAATTTCCATTGATTGTGTAAATATTTAATAAATGTGATAAATATAATTGGGGAAGTCCTCTACGGAAGTAAAACCTGGTTGCATGACGTCTTCTAGGTTAAAAACATTATAGATCCCAATTTTGGGGATTGATATAATTTATTGATTCTTTAAGTGAGGATCTGTGATACAATATCACATTGTCAATTACCCTAATCCAATGGCTGCCCTTAGAAGGAAAACATCTTGAATCCATTTTGAGGAGAATCCCAAGGCTTTTTGAAAATTTCTATCTTGAATGTCCAATTCTAGTGTTAACCAAACAAGGTCTAAAGTATTATGAATATCTGCCAATATACGACTCTGTATTTGCCTCATACTACAATACCTATACGTTGCACGAAGGAAGAGGATGATTTTGGGAGCCAGAGATCTGGTGTAACACGCTTTTGACACAGCAATGCATTGAACCCGGATCTCCTGTTCACAATAATTTGGCTCACGTCTACCCATATAATATCAGTCGCATATGGGGAACATCTCATCCTCCTATATTATATTATGCACTAAGAGATGTTCTTAATACACAGAGGTAGTGTGTTGTGAACACATGTGGGTAGAGTTCTTGTGGGCAGGAAATCCGGAGTCCAATTTGATGCCCACATTAGTAACATCTTTCCACAAATGACAAAGATAATGCATCTGATAGACCCTTGGTTACAACACATTAACACTTGCTACTTGTACTCTCCAATAAAATTGTGCCACGCCACCTTAACTTTGAATTTCAAAATTAACGGCAATCCACACCTTAGCGGAAATCCGACTCCAAAACGAAATTCATGTTCTCTCTTTCGTGATCCAATCAAATTTCGGATTCAGATATCTTATACCGATTTTATTTTATTGGATCGGATTGAAAAATAGGATATGGATAGAATTTGGATCACTATAAAAGACATGCATATATATAATAAAAATGGTTGAGAAAAATGTTTGTATTATTTTTTTTTTGTTTTTCTTTGTATAAACTATTTTAATTTTTTGGGAAAATCAATAATGCCGGAAAGGCTTTGACGAATTATAACCCGTATGATGAAAATCCACATGATCGGTTATTACTTTTATTGATTGGTTCATTGGCCCCAAAAATATATGACAAAGACAATAGGTTTAAATTTTTATTTTTATTTTCAGTCTTCACCTAAGAAAAGGTCTATGAATAATTCATAATTTGCTCCACTCGTAAGAAAATTTACACCGAGAGAATTTAGGGTTTTAGCACCATAAATATCCTGAGGTAAAATAGCACCCTTATTTCATTAGTTTGCAACGAGAAGTTGTCCAAACAGATGAGAACATTCGAGGTTATCAATGCCACTCCCCTGCATTTCGTGGCTATCATACAGAATGGCTTACCATGGGGAAGAGATCCATGCCACGGCCACCTCCAAATATAATGGCACAATGGCAGCCATAATTGGGACATTCTCTTTAATTTTTGTTTCTTCTTCCTCTCCCTCCCTTTTGTGTGTGTATGGAGAGAGAATTAAAACTGCAACTGTAGATTAGCATCGATAAAGTCAGCAAACGAGGGATACGACCAAATCTCTGATCAATATTTGTGCCACAGACATGCACAAGGAATGCAAAATTTGTGCCAGGGAAGCTCAAATCTCTGATCATCCTTTGCTATATTCAGCGGAGATTGAAAATGAGAGGGCCTAATTCCCCAGTGATAACAGCAACTGCCACCAACCCAAGCAGAAGGCAGCACTAGGGGTGTCCACGATTCAGTTAACCGAATTGTAGTACCGGTTTTTCCATTTTGCCAAACTGAAACTGAATCGGTACCACCGATTAACTGGTCCACTGGTTTCGGTTTTTGACTGGTTCGGTTCTTTGGTTTTTCGGCTTTTTATATTTATAATATATATTATATAAATATATGTATAATATTATATTATAAATATTTTGAAAATATATAATAAATATAATATATTTATAAATAGATCATTATAAATATATTATAAGTATATATTATATATATAGTGAATATATATTTATATATAATACATAGAAATATGTAACATATATTAAAAATATATAAAATATACATATAAATGTATATACCGGTTGGTTCGGTTAACCGTCAGTTCTGAATCGGTCCTTCAGTTTTTCAAAAATTCCGAACCGATCGGTTCGGTAAACTGCATTTTGCAGTTTAGTTTTTTTTATTCGGTTCGGTTTTTTGATTTTTCGGTTTTTCATGGACACCCCTAGTCAATGGGACTGGTTTTGGGTTGAATCCCCTCCAAATCAAAATCAATTTGGATGGATTAGATGGGCAAAATGGTCTAAAATATTTATTGGATTGGATTGGATCCACCCACAATGAATTTATATTGGATTGAGTCAGATTGAATCAATATCCAATCCATTGATAGAAGATAAGAATATAAGGGTCAATCTAGTTGTGTAGTGATTGCATTCCCTACGAGCTTTAGCAAAAAAATGATCATTAAAGGGAAAATTTGATGTGTTAAAATAGATTAAGTCCTCACATGATATCACATGCAAATGGGCCAAAACATTTGAGTAGTGAAATGCCTATTTGTGTCAAATGGGGCCACCTGACAGAATATATTAAAGTAGTTTTGGACATGGTATACTTAAAAGCAGTTTTGGAAACACTGTATATTTAAGCAGTTTAGTAAAACCACAGGGCATATTTAAATAGAATAAGCATATATTGCACATCTAACCAATTCAAACCCCAGACCTGCAAACAAAAACTCTGTACACACTCTGCAAGTATGAGAATTCAGCCTCACATTGGGAATATCTCCCATGAATTTAACATAGATGTATGGGAGATATTTTCAATGTGTGCGCACTAGATGTTATGTGTGCAGAGTTTTTGCTTAGAGGAGATCATAGCTCCTTATTAATAGCATAACATGAACATTGCATGTTTTCAGATTTAACACCATGGCACAAAGTACATTCATTCATGTTCATGCTGTAGCTGTGAATACAGTGTGAGCACCGTTTTGTGAGAACTGTATATATTTATTAATGGTGTGAGCACCGATTAATACCACAGCATAACATGAATAGTGCTCACACCATTCTCACAACCACTTGCAACCGTGTATCATACATGGCAGTATTTGTATATATTTATTAATGGAGAAAGATTTCTCATGCAGTGGCTGTGAATATGGTGTGAGCACTGTTTTGTGAGGACTGAATCTGATCTCCTTACCCATGTCCTAAAATAGAATTTTCAATTCAAGAAAATTGTATGTATGTATCAGAAAAGTACGAGCTTCATGTCTGTATATTGGCCGTAAATGTTGATTCACGAACCAAATCACATGTTAAGGGCTCCAACTCCAACTGCTTAAACTCTTTTCAACACTATAGCAACCACGTGCTTAAAATTGCACATGAACTTGGAAATAATTGAGACTTCTCGTTAAAAAGAAAAAAAGAAACAGTACGGTAGAAGGAACCATCTTCCACATGAATTGCTTTTCTTCTTGCCGGTTCCAAAAGCAAATAAAAATCATCGAGTTTAAAAAGATGTTGTTTCTCAAAGCAAAGGTACAGAAACATCTCGTTAGTTGTATGTGTTTTTGGTTTTCAAATGTTTGAAGAGTGAAAATTTGTTTTTGTTAAAAAAAAAAAAAAAACATAATTTTGATGGTTTGAATTGTTTTTGAAAATAAGATTATTTTGTTTTCACTTCCCTAAACAAAAACAATGTTAGAAAATATGTTTTTGTTTTGGGTACGTTGATTATGATATTCGAAAGACATGATATCGGAAAAACTTGTGA